CCCCCTCACTCTGACCGATTTTCGGACCACGTTTGCGGACCCCATGTGCTGCGTACTTGCGCTCGCTTGTGCTTCTGGTTTCAGCTGCTGGTTAGCGTTATGGTTATTTGGCGGAAAACAGAGTTACTGCAAATTATTTCTGTAGCCTTCTGCCCGCCTTCTGTTTCTTCCCTTCACTCTAAGACGATGTGTATAGTGTGAGTGGGCATCGAAAGTCATACCCAATCCCAAGTCGTGAATGTTCATCAAAGGGGGTCAATATCTCCCGAACTTAACCCGCAAGACAAGGAACTGGTGGCTCAATAGTTAGAACGTAAGACTCTGATCGAAAAAGTCACGAGTTTGAGTCTCGGGTGCTGGCCCACTTGGGGTTGGGTATGACTGCCTGACAGCGGCTCATAAGCCAGAAGTGGCCATGCCAGTCGCCCTTGTCTTTGCCGACAATACTATCTGCCTAGCCTAGTAGCGGCGACGCCTACTGCCAAGGTCCGAGAAATTAAACTGAGGGCATAGAGGAACACGTGAGTTCCGTTAGCGGTCAGTGAAGCGATCAGCAAAGAATGTCAAAAAGAATGTTTTCCAGTCTAATGGCAGAAATGGTTTCAAAATAGCTGGAAAATTTCAACTCCAACCAATACAACTTGCGTTCTGGTACCGATATGTAGACGACATGTGTGTTATAATCAAGCAGAGCTGAATAATAGAATTAAAAAATCTGTTTAATGGTATCGCTGCCCCGACATTCAATTCACTACGGAAGAAGGGAGCGCAGAAATACTACTTTTCCTGGACGTCCTCATCACACGCAGACCCAATGGTGAACTCAGCAACATTGTGTTCAAAAAGGAGACTAACACATCTAAGGTAATTACTTATGATAGCAACTATCCAATAGCGCATAAATGAGAACGTATTAGAGCACTATTTCAGAGCGTAAAACCAGCTGGCAGTGAACGTGAAGGACGATTGCGAGAAAACTGGCATTTTCCGGACCAGCTGGCCACAAATGGATACCCGACCGGTTTCGTTAGCCGTTGCCTCCGTACGTGCTCACGGGGACTAAACAGAGGAGAGCTACCAACACTAAGGCGTCAGATGATGAAGCCGATAGACCCACTGCCACGGCAAGAAACATCTAGGGTCGTTTACAGGATCTGGTGCAGTTGCGGTCAAAGCAACTATGTCGGAGAAACTGGCA